GCCGCGTCAAGTTATTTGTTACGTATGGTTTTATGGTGTAACGGTTAGCACTCCAGACTCTGAATCTGGCGATCTGGGTTCAAATCCCGGTAAAATCTTAGTATATGATAGTTATTCTATCGGAGAGCAAAATCGCCGCGTCAAGTAAATTCAAATGGATGGTTTTATGGTGTAACGGTTAGCACTCCAGACTCTGAATCTGGCGATCTGGGTTCAAATCCCGGTAAAACCTTAGTACATGATAGTTATTCTATCGGAGAGCAAAAGCCCCGCGTCAAGTATATACAAGTGGATGGTTTTATGGTGTAACGGTTAGCACTCCAGACTCTGAATCTGGCGATCTGGGTTCAAATCCCGGTAAAACCTTGGTATATGATAGTTATTATATCGGAGAGCAAAAGCGCCGCGTCAAGTAAATATAAATGGATGGTTTTATGGTGTAACGGTTAGCACTCCAGACTCTGAATCTGGCGATCTGGGTTCAAATCCCGGTAAAACCTTGGTGTATGATAGCTATTCTATCAGAGAGCAAAATCGCCGCGTCAAGTAAATTCAAATGGATGGTTTTATGGTGTAACGGTTAGCACTCCAGACTCTGAATCTGGCGATCTGGGTTCAAATCCCGGTAAAACCTTGGTATATGATAGCTATTCTATCGGAGAGCAAAATCGCCGCGTCAAGTAAATTCAAATGGATGGTTTTATGGTGTAACGGTTAGCACTCCAGACTCTGAATCTGGCGATCTGGGTTCAAATCCCGGTAAAACCTTAGCATATGATAGTTATTATATCGGAGAGCAAAAGCGCCGCGTCAAGTAAATACAAATGGATGGTTTTATGGTGTAACGGTTAGCACTCCAGACTCTGAATCTGGCGACGATCTGATGTGGGCTATCTGACGAATGGGGCCGCTATGCCAGAGGACTACATCAATCTGGTCTGGCTGTGTAAAAGCATAACATGTTAGACAATTCCATCTGGGATGACTTTCCTGCGCTAAAAGGCGTATCTTAACCCAAACGCTTTCATGACACAATTCTCTACAGTGCGTTAGCTTGCCGTTGCGTCTTCGCAATTTCAATGACGGACCTCTAAGATGTGAAGAATTGTAAGTCACCATTTTTCCAATGGTTCACAAATTAATCACGATAATAATTATAACGTAAGTTGTAATCCTCCAATAAGTAATCGTTCCGAGTAAACCCTCATGCTGCCTCTACTGTAGTCTCCCTTCTCTATGCCCCTTTCTACAGTGTCGTCTCAGCACAGCACGTCATCACCCGATCGTGGAAAGGAGCTTTATGCTGCAGGCGACTTTGAGGTTTTATGGGAAACTATTTCGCTGTGATGGAAAAATATTCATTTTACTCTCTTCAAAAATGAACTTGTTTTGAAAAGAAGAGGAGGGTGATATTTTACCTTTTTTTCGTGGGCGATTTTGCATGTGACTTCTTCTATTCGATCGAATTAAGTTTTGCTGATTGTCGTAATCGTTAAATCATCCAATCGCATTTTTTCTGATGATGAATTCAGGGCGCGCTGAAAGCCTGGGAGATGACTTTGAAAAGCATCGGTTATATAAACAGTAAGGAAGCGTACGCTCAGGACTCGTCCAAGCAAAATGGTAGTATCAGCGACGGAGCGGAGTTTTTTTGATATATTGTGTTGTAGAGGTTGACGAAATAGCAACACGAGCAGAGCTGAATGCTGCACAGGCTTGTTTACGTCTGAGGGTGGGATAGAACCTGTGCGGGATTGTTCACATGGGGTTTTGCATTCAGCGATGGGATGACGCCGTACGGCACTGTGACAGTGTGCTGAAGAAAAATCCTCTGGAGGCCAAGGCGTTGTATAGGAAAGCCACAGCACTTCGACAGAAAGGAGAATATGAAGAAGTCAGGAAGTAATTATAACTACGTCTTCGTAACGCGGAGGCGAGGCTCACTTAGTCCGCGTCCATTGAGTCAGTGAGTGAATTTATCGTACGTCCCTGGTTCGATTTTCGGGCTGGGCATTTCTCCGTCAAAAAGAGGTTTAGTGCATATCTCTTGAGCCGTTCGCGACAACTTCGGGATATAGAGGAGCCGTCGGATCTATCTGGTGGCACTCAAGTTGAGAAAAAGCTCACAACCTCAATACGGCTAGTGTCCACGAGATTCCAAAGTCAATTAAACTTAACAGCTAAGTGAGGATAATTCTGCACCCACGCACGCACAACGCGAAAGTGCCTGTTGTTGCGGGATATGCTCCGCTCGTTTCGCATTGCTATTAATTGGTTTTATTAGTATTGAGTTTGTTCGCGTGAACTATTTGTTCTATTCTGTGTGATTTTCCTCAGATGCATTTCACAGCTGCAGAGCGTGAACTCATCACTAGGGCAGTATTTATTGCAAGCTGTTGATAAAGAAGATCGAGAGCACAGAAAAGAGGAGAAAAAGGTGGTTATGGAGGAAAATTAGTGGTGTAGCATTGGAAAAATCTGAGATTTTTTGGGGGAATTTGTCGGGAAATCCAGTGAAAAAACATTCTTGTGCGATACGAAAATTCTGATGGAAAACATAAATTTTCTTTGGCATCGAATTAGTTCCCACTACATGTGAAACCGCGATGGCTTTTGGGGAGTGTTGGGATATATGTCGGCTTATTGCAGCTCAGGAGCTCAGGAAATTTTTCACTAATTATAGAAGTATGCATTCGAATTCGGGTAAAAGTGTACTGAGAATCAATGAGAATTTTCCCAAAATTTTCATATTGTCACCAGCGCATGTAGTTGACCATGTGCATGGTTTCACACACTGCAATGTGTGGTATATTTTATTTCATACCGTAAAACCGTCACTTTGCAGAGCTTTCACCGTTTTGATATATTTCGGTATTTGTCCTAATGTGAAGAAGGCTGTTGAACATGCGAAAGTATGCTAGCCCGGGAAAGATTAAATGATCGCCATCCTTGTTTGCTAATGCTAATCGAAGAAGTGGAAAATTTGTTTTCCCATTGTGATAAAATATGCACATGGTCAACTACATGTGTCGGTGACAAGAATAAAATTCTGAGGAAATTTTGGGAAATTTTCGTTGGGTTCTTAACACTTCTATTCTCATTCGTGATTAGAACATAGACCTTGCGGGAAAACATGCACACGGTCAACTGCGTGTGTTGGTCGTAACATGAAAACTCCGAGAGAATTTTTGGAAATTCTTCTTGGTTTTTGTGCACTTCTACCTGAATTCGTATAAATGAAAATAACTACCCAAAATTTCCTCGTGATTTTCATATTATCGTCAACGCATGTGTTTGACCATGTGTATATTTTCCCACACTGAACATAGATTGCCTTTCAGTTGTGGAATGATGCTTTCCGTAATCTGGAAGCAGCGAAAGATGTTACGCAGCGGGAAGATTCTTGGTGGGAAAAGATACGCCCATATTTCTGGTGTTGTCGTCGCAGAAAGCGAACGGAAAAAGAAGAGTGAAAACGTCCAAATACTCGATTGCTCGTGTTAGTTTTTCATAATCATCACAGAGAGGAGTTGCGTAATGGAGTTTCACCCGTGATATACAGCACACATAGTTTCGCAAAAGTAAGACACGTGCGAAGCTCCAACTGATATGGGATAATTCTCGAAGAGTTTTCAATTTACTTCATATCGCGTTTTATTACGCCACTTCCCGTAACACGGGTTAAACTCCAATATCATCATCGCATGTGTACCGACGACCCGACTTAGTTTACTTCACATCGATTCTTTCACATTAACACACAAGGATTAGCTCAGCCTATTTCATGACCTAATCTCATTCGGGAGGCTTGGATTTAGTTGGTGATTTTATGAATATAATTGTAGATAGTATCTCTAGAGACATTAACCATTCCTTTGAGTTCTCTTATGGTTGCCACTACTGCAAAATTTCACTGTCAAAAAAATCGTCAACCCCCGTAGAAACTTCAATTTGAAGTATGTTACTGCACGTGTAAGGAAATGTTGTACACAAGTGTCTCCTGTAAGTTTAGATTCTTGTGATACTTGTCTCCCTTGCTAGCCTAGCGTATACTTCATGATTACTGTATTTAACATAAGTTGAGAATCACTTGTTAATAACTCTTGTTGAGTTATCTATTAGGGTACTAGCCATATGGAACACAATAGGTAACATCTTGAGAGGGTTGCATAATAACTATTTTCCTTGAATCGATAACTACAGCTATAACAGGGCGGGCGAACCTTAAAACTCACCCATCCTAACAGCACGTATATGCCGAATAGATCTTCACAATTTTTCCGACTTGTATTATCAACTTAGATTCACACCTAAAAATATAAGGGACACAAACCACCACCGATCAGAAGGGCGGCCACTTTGTCCACAATATCATATCGATCGTTACTCGAGCAAGCACGAGTGTCAAGGCACTATATTTAGCCTTTACGCTGTAGTCTCATCTCTTTCCATTCCAATGTTAATACGACATATCTACACTTGAGTTCACTTACCACAACATGTCTGCTGGTCTACGGCAACAATGAAAAAGGGCAAGTCAGCAAAGGGTTATGAACAATAAAATAACGATCAAAAACAATGATCGTGTGGATAACACAAAAGTCAATGTATGGCATCGCAATACAGGACTATATGGAGAAACAAATAGTATTACCATCGCATAGGATAGAACTCAGGACCATCGGAATATACTGCTTGAAAACTAACGATTACACCAATTTTCATTCGAAGCGGTTCTTAATAACGAGCAATACATGAATCACGTTCTTCTGCTGCGATTACATCAATTTCAAGACCCCCCCAGTGCGTCGATTATTCGGGCGCGCGCTACTGTCTTCGCTTTTCACAGAAAGAAATACGCTCCTCACTGGTTTTTTGGCAGGTTTCCTCCTATAAAAATGGGCATCATATCTTCACGATTCTTCCGTTCCTCCTCTTCGTCATCGTTTACTCCCACTACTACTGGGAGGAAAATAGAAGCGCAGGGAATAGTTGATTTTATGCACTTTATCGGCGAATTGAAAACTTTACGGTAAAATTTGGGAAAAATTTTGGTAAATTTCAATAACACTCCTACTTTTTCCCGAAAAATTCTCCGATTTTTGGGGATTTGTGAAAATTGTGGTAAATTCCAATAACATTACTACTTTTTCCCAAAATTTTCGGCTGGATCCGCTTCTGAGAGAAATTCAGTAAATTTCGAAAACATCACTATTTTTTCCTGAAAAATTCACCGATTTTTCCATTTCAGAAAAACTGGTCGGATCCGTTTTCGGGAAAAACTCAGTAAATTTCGAAAACATTACTATTTTCCCCGAAAAATTCGTAATTTTTTTCTCTCAGAAAAAAACTGGTTTCTGGGAGAAATTTGGTAAATTTCGTAAACATTACTTTTTTTTCCGAAAAAAAATTATATTTTTTCATTTCAGAAGAACTGGCTGGGTCCGCAGTGGAGTTCCTAATCCCGAATCAGATTGCGATCATATGCATCGTTGTGCAGTGCTGGCTATGTTGACTCCCCACGACAAGAAGGACTTCGATCGAGGAAGAACTATACGGATGGCTTTGGTAGTAGTATTACCGGGAAGTGAAATAATGAAAATTGTTATTCATTTTGGGGCAGAACGCCGTAGATGTGTTGGAAACCTATAGCCTTGTTTTTGTATTTTCTCATTTCAAATGGCGATAAGAAAAACACTAGTGAAAAACACATTTCTTATCGCGGTATGAAAAACACTAGTGAAAAACACATTTCTTATCGCGGTATGGAAAACACTAGTGAAAAACACATTTCTTATCGCGGTATGGAAAACACTAGTGAAAAACACATTTCCTAGCGTTTTACGCTAGAATCTCCGCGTAATAATTGTATGGCCATCACAGGTTCACGATGTGGCTGAGGCGGTGGCTGGTGATATTACCCCCTTCTGTGGAGTTAGTAAAGAGGAAAAGCACAAACTTGAACGGGAGGTAGTAGTAGTAGTTTTCGTATCACGGGTGAAACTCCATCGTATGTGTTTTATATATGTAAATTTTTTGCGAACTTTTTACGGTTTTGCGTTCTCCTATTTCAGGGTCTGCAGAAAATGTTGTCGTTTTTACGGAAGGACTTGGGTAGCCGAGAAACGGCTCAAGAGATTGAGGATCTGTGGAATGAGTTCGAAGCTGGGGTGTCTCAGGAAGTAGGGGAAGGGTGGTGTAGTGGTTAACGGTTTGGGCGAGCATGGAGGAGGCTGTGGGTTCGATTCTAGAGGGGGTGTTTTTTGCAGGCAATTTATGCTAAAGACATTGACAAATTCGAGATGGTCTTGCAGGCGTTTGAATACGAGAAGGCGCACGAAGGTAGGGGAGGAGGATCTATAATGTTCCCGTGTGGGAGTTTATTTTGAATTTTCCACGGATGGCTAGGAACGCATTCTTCAATCAGTTTCCCATGTAGATGTCATCACCACATTAGAAGTACTTCTCGAAGTTGAATTACTCTGTGGGTATGGAGAATCTATGTCTTCAAAGAATCGTCGTGGGAAACTCATTTAGCGTCGAGAAATAACGTTCTTCAGGGTTTGATAACAATGGGAGAATGTTCCTAATGTGATGACATTCACACCGGAAACTGATCCCTAGCCATACGTAGAAAATTCAAAATGAGTTTCCCGCGGGAACAATATAGATTCCGGGATGATTCTCTGGTGGTCGTTGTTGAGGCTATCAATTTTGCGGGTAGAGAAATCACAGTCACGATTAGCGGCATCAATATTTTCTAAAAAAATGTGGAGTGTAGATGTGCAACCCGAAATTGATTTCCCTATTGGGCGAAATCGATGGTTTCAACCGCTGAAAAGAATTCTGTGGCGGTGAAAAATATGATGTTGAGTTCAGGTCTAGCAATGCCGACTTTCTTTGAAAGTACCGACGGGATCTTCAAGACCCCACTTTTCGAGGCGTTGGATGCTGAGGTAGAAAACTGAGTTATATATAAAAACGTATTATATAAACGTAAAAACGTTATATATGGTATTAACGTATTGGAGTAGATATAATTAGTAATAATAAGTAGTTTTTGATGAGCAAAATGTGTAGTACACTCGATTCTTTTAATGGAGTTTCATAACCCGTTTTACGTGAAGTGCCGTCGTAAAACTTGGTGAAAAACGCGATATCCGCGGTGATATGCAGTAGTCGTGAAATATGTTTTCCATATCACTAGGGTGGTGAAACTCCAGTGAACGTCAGTGTTCGAAAATATGTTCGCTTACCTCAGCAGGAGCTCATATACGGATCGAGAGAATATATACGAGAAGTGGACAGAACCTAGAAGAAATTCTCCGAAATGTCCTCGCAGTTTTGATATTGTCACCAACATTTGTGGTATTTTTACCACACTAATATAAATTTTATGTATAAACTATTGTATGAATAATTGTTTTCTTGTATAAATTTTGCCACACTGGTGAAATCGATAATATGATTATTAATAATCATGATATGTTATTGTTAAGCATGGACTATTAATACTATTATAGTTTTTTTGCTGATATCCATCCGTAGTGTTTCGGGACAGGTGATCGTAATAGTAGTAGTTTAGTCCAGTGGGTAGGGTGGCGGTATGCCTATCGAACGACCCAGGTTCGATCCCGCCGGAAGCGTTTATTTGAGGACCGCGAGCAGGACCCATCCGTAGAGCACCTACCCCATTCGAAGGCGGCTGAGGAGGAGGAAGCAGCGCCTCCTAGCAAGAAATCACGGAGGAGCGGTATGGAGAAGTAGTAATCAAAATATGTAGATATGGCTAGAAAGAACAACTGCATATGTTTCGTCTCTTTTTTCTGTGATAACCGATCGGCATTGGTCGTAGGAGCCATGGTAAACACAACAGTATAGTTTTCACACTAGGGAAAATACAGTAGTATTTAGCAAGACTAAGTAGCTGGCTGAAGGTCTGGTTAAGTATCAAGAATTGTGTGCAGGTGTCTCTGGAACTGACTTTTTTCGGGAGTAATTTTGTCGTTGATTTTCAGGATCAGCTCGGACGAAGAGAAGGGCGTTGAGGATGCTACCACTACTGTTACGGATTCTTCCAAGGGGTAGGCTTGTGGGAACGGGGATGAAATACTCGGAGTATTGCGATCACGTTGGACATGTATAGGGAATATTCCAAATATTAGGAATTCTAAAATGCCGTTGAACTGCGCTGTTTCTAATGAGCTACTTCTTGAGTGCTGCAAGTAATAAACAATAGCACATTTTCTGTATAAATGTAAATACAATACTCGATTTTTCAATTACAAAGAACATATTTCGGCATCACTTCGCTGAGATGTGAAGAGAAGTATATGTTGTTATCGCGTTATAATGACGATTGTATATTAAACGACATGTATAGGGAATATTCCAAAGTGCCGTTGAGCTGCGCTCGTTAAGGTCTTTCTAATGAGCCACCTCTTACTGAGAAATTCGTTGAATTCTGTAAGCTACAGACAACAAAGGTAGATGCTTACGACACTCAACCTAAGAAATTGTTAGGTTGATATATGTTCTTTATAATAACTGTTAGTAACAATTATAAAGAACATATTTCGGTGGTTGTGACGCAGCGTCATCGCGCGGAGGCACGATAAGACATGCTGTTATCGCGTTATAATTACGAGTGTATATTGGACGAATACATATATATAGCAGCGGAGTGAAAGTCCATAGGCTCGAATATTTTTATCAATGCTACTCGTGAGTAGTGCGAATAAGTAGTGTCTTTGCAACTCTGGAGGGTGATGTTGGAATATAGGCTTGCTTTTCGAGTGCTGCTCTCAGTGATTTACTCACGGGTTTATATATGAATTTGGGTAGGAATGGTAAAAATTTCACCGGAAATTTCATATTGTCACCAACATATGTGGTTGACCATATGCATATTTTTCCGCATTTTTCCAGATATCTGATGGTGGTTGTTGGAATATATGTTAACTCTCCTCAGCTGAGCTCAGGAGTTTCCTCAGTAGTTGTGGGAGTTCATAAATGAATTCGGGTAGAAGTGTCCAGAAAAATCTCTCAAAATTTTCCTCAGAATTTTCATATTGTTGACCATGTGCAGATTTTTAAAAATTGGTGGTGAAATTTCAGCTGAGGAGATGAAGGTTGGAATTGCCTTTTTTTCAGAAGTACTCCCCTTCCTGAAGAAGTCGCTGTTGAGGTGCTCAAAATATGAGATTATTCAATCGATGAAAACTGAGTGTATTCTATCACTGCCGAAAAACCATCTCCCTATCCAGGTGTCTCTTCAACGGGTTGGAGTTGATCTTGTGTTTAGTGGGGTACTTTCGCGGCGCGAAAATATGTGAAAATTATGGGGAAATTATTGTTGGTTTATGTACACTTTGAATGGAGGAAGTCCTTGAGCTGATCTGAGGAGAGCGAACATATATTCCTACTTCAACAATGGTTAGCAGTATGGGAAAATACGCACATGGTCAACCACATATGATGGTGACAATATGAAAATTTTTTTGAGGAAATTTTGGAGGAAATTTTTATTGGTTTCTGTACACTCCGAATTCGTATATGAACTCGTATAGTGAGGACGTCCTTGAGCTGAGCTGAGGAGAGCGAACATATATTCATACTCCAGCAATGGTTAGCAGTTTGGAAAAATACGCACATGGTCAACCACATGTGATGGTGACAATATAAAAATTTTGAGGAAATTCTTATTGGTTTCTGTACACTTCTATCCGTTTTTTCCGACTCCATCCGAAGAGTCCACCATATTTTTCGACATTAATGTGCTAGTGAAAATTCAGGTGTTTGACGACTCGTTTTTTTTCCTAATACACTGATTGGAATTTCACCCTGGTGATATGAAAAACATATTTCACGACTACTGCATATCACCACGAATATCGCGTAAAACGGGTGAAACTCCAATATTGATTATTATCATTATTAAGAATGTGGGTTTCCATTTTATGTCATCATCGTCATCATCGTCGTCATCATACTCGAATTGGGCGGATCCTCGTGCGCTGTGGAGGTGCTTAGATTTTCTGCAGGGACGAAAGCCGCCTCTCACAAATGAGGAAGGGGAGGAGGACATTCTTAATCGTGGTACGGCTGGGTATAAGAACGTATTTGAAAATGGTTATTGTTTACGAGTGTGAAATTGTTGGGAAATTGAGGGAGTCTCAGAAAACGTCTAAAATTTATGATGGAATATATGGAACATACCATCCTCACCATATATGTGGAGTTTTGATGGTATATATGAGAACATTCAGAATTTACGGTAATATTGGAGTTTCACGACCCGTTTTACGCGATGTAGAAAACGCGATATTCGCGGTGATATGCAGTAGTCGTGAAATACATTTTTCACTAGTGTTTCTCATATCACTAGGGTGAAACTCCATTATATTCGCTAAAATACTAAAAATCTACCGACAGCAAAAACGTTATATTCAATATAACGTTGTTGCTGTTGGTAGATTTTTAGTATTGATTTTCAATAGAGTTTCACCCTAGTGATATGAAAAACATATTTCACGACCGCGAATATCGCGTTTTTCACCGAGTTTTACGACGCCACTTCACGTAAAACGGGTTATGAAACTCCAATGTTATTGCAGAACTTCCGAATTGAAAAAAGCGGCCGCTTTTCGCGAAAATTTTTCCGTTGTTGAGAAAACGCCACAGTAGTGGAGATTGCGTTGTGAATCATCAGGAAATTAACTAAGAGCTTCCTTCAACCGAGAGAGTTTCGAGGGATGTAATACTCCTTATGAAGTGATCGAAATAGATTGGAAAATGACTCCGTATCACGTAAAACGCATCACGTGTTTTGATACGTTTTTCGTGTTTTTTAAATGACGATGCAACTCTACTCGGGAAGGCGATGATGATGATGATGGTGTACCAACGTATTGCAAGTAGTTGATCTACGATAAAATTTCATTGACGAATTTCATGGATATACGATATGAACATGAAATATTGGAGTTTCACCCGTTTTACGATACTCGCAATAGTCGCGAAATATATTCTTTCACTGGTGTTTTTTCTTTTTCATATCACTAGGGTGAAACTACAATGTACATTAACATCGCTCATTTAGTGTGAAGTTTTCTCGAAATTTTTCCCCATTTTTCCATCAGATTTTTATTATTTTATTCTCTTTGGATTTTTTCAGAGCCGCCTACTTCCGTCGGAGATTCGCTTCGGGTTAGAAGCGTAGTAGAGGTTTCATCGAAGAACGATTTTGAAGGTAATTCTAATTTGAAGTTTTTCCCCGAGTAAAAACGTTCAGTTTCGAAACGTCAAACGCATAAAATTCGTTGTTGTTGGTTTTTGTACACTTCTACGCCAAGTCGTCATTTTTTATAATTGAGCTTTGGAAACTCCTGATCTCAGCTGGGGAATCAAATATATATTTTTGCTATCGTTTTGTTCATAACTTCATACCGTGTATGATTCTGTTCTCGCAGGAAAAATTGAGATGGGTGCATTTTTTTCCGGAAAAAAAATGAAAAAATTTCTCCATTTTTTGAACATGATTCGGTACAGGTCCGAATAAAACGGAGGCTGTCACTTCGAGGAAGGGTGCGGTAAATGAGTAAGCTGGGCGTGTCACCACTGGTGTCACCACTATTTTTTCAGAGTGAAGGAGTTAACACCATTAAAATCCCGACAGAATTCTGAAAAGCTGGAGGAAAATCTTTTTGAAGATATTGGGGTTCATTATGAGCAACCGATTACGTTGGAAAGTGTTGATAGGGAAAGGTAGAATAAAATTGCTGTTTTTTTTCGGAAATTTTCACGGAAAAATATTTTTTATCGTCGGTTTCGGTACCATTTTATTCCCTTTACTTTGGAAGGAGAGCGCAGCAAGAAAATTTTTTTCTGTTTTTTCATATGAAAATTTGCCGGTTTAATACAGTTGGTTTTTGGAAAAAAATTTTACGGACAAAAAATATTTTCCTGTTGTCAGTTTATTTTCTTTTTGCAGCGATAAAATTATTTTTTCCTGAAAATTTACCGTTTTTTTCTCACTGGTCGTTTTTTTGGTAAATTTTATATTTCGCGGGAAAAAATCATCATGCCCATTACTGTTACCGTAATTTTTGCAAATT